CCTGCTTTGGAGCAACAAGAGAACAAGTCAGAAGAGGAGGAACAGTTGGAACTAAGCAAGATTTTGTTCAAACATAAGGATTATATTGCTGTTACAAGAATCCCAAGGAAATGAATGTTTTAAACTTGAGGCCAGAGGACTACCATTTGAAGTGTAGCATCTGTAATTAAATTTTTAGACATGTCTGAGTAAATTATCAAGAATCCAGGGCATGCAGAATTCAGTGGAATTAGTTCCAAAGTTTATCTATGAAATGTGGCAGCATGTTCTTTCAGCTTAAATTCTAAGACTCTAATATTTTAAATCACTTAAAAAGCTTCTACATAATGACTATGAAGAGTCAATACAGATATCTATATCTATATCTATATCTATATCCATATCCATATCTATATCTATGAGTATCACACCAAGTTCCAGCACTGGGTCTAAACATGAGCTGTGTGACTTAATGCAAACTCCGATGTGTTTCCCATTTTGTCTCCTATAAAATGAGGGCTGTGGGTCAAATAAGTTGACAGAACTATTCTAGCATTTAACTTCTATACAGTAACTACTAAGTTCTTGTCAAAATACAAATTTTACAACAAAAATGTATTTTTCAGTGACAGGTCTAAAAACTACTTCAATGGCTCAGCCTAATTTCAAAAGGTAGCAAATTTATGTTAACAGTGGACAATTTTCCAAATTCTTTTTTGATGGGGCTCCTGATCAATGGGATACAATGAAACTGATACCCAAGTTGTTTTCTTACTACAGTACGTAATAGTCAACAACTGTCTATAATGATCAGTAAGAGTCCCTTGGGTTTTATTTCCTAAACCTGAATCTTGCCATAACATCTCAGAAAAAATATTTAATTGGCAGTTACTACTACTCATGCTCTTTGTTTCTGGAAATCCCATTGGAAAGCAAGATGATAAAAGGAGCCCCATCACCATGTACTCTACCCCGACCCTGTCCCTTGCAATATAGCACACAGACATAACCACCTGTAGGGAGTAATATCGTTTTCAACCAGTACATGGAAGCTCAGAATTGTTAAAGCAAATGGTGAAATTTCAAGAGATCATGGCTTAAATAGTGGTGTAGGGTAGAAAATGCATAATATGGAATATGCACATTAGAAATGGTGAGACTGGCGTAAGGCGTTGGCCCAAATCATTCTGTGTTTCAGAGATGACCTTTGCACTGTAGGCTTACTCAGCAGCATCCTTGGCCTTTACCTTCTAGATGCCAGCAGCACCGTCACTACCCCAAGGTGTGACACTCAAAAGTATTTATCTTTGACAAATTTCCAGAGGCAAAACCGCCCCAATTCAAAACCACTGAGAAGGCAAAAGCTATGCAAATAGGTGATCTTTAAGTATGCATAGCAGTAAGGGTTAATCTCACATTGCTGAGTAAAAGAGTCAGACACAAAAGTGAATATACTATATACGGTTTCATACATATAAAGCATCCAAACAGACAAAAGCAATTATGTCACAGGAAATCAGGACAGTGGTTACTCTCGGGAGGGTCAAGTAGAGGGACGAAATGCCTGGAAGGCAGCAGGATTGACCTCTGAGGTGCCTGCCGCTAATGTTCTGTCTTGATCTGGGTACTGCTTACACAGATGAAAATTCAGTAAGTACTTATGGTAGTGTACTTTTCTGCATATATACGTAAATATGTTTTTTTCAAATTGCCATGGGAAACACATTTTTCATAAAGAATGAAAACTTTGTAGCTCTTAATCTATAAATCATAAGCAATACTTATTATCAAGGTACATGTTAATTAAACAGTTTTAAATCAAGTTGTGAACAAAATTAAAAAATTTCTCATGTTCCTTTCAAAAACAGGCATTTAATTTAAAATACACAGAAGAAGTCCATTTCAATTAATTAATTTGGTGGAAATTACTTCCTGAGATTTGTCTCTATTTCTATTGGCAAAAGCCTAACTAATCAAAGATGACTTTTTAAATATAAAATGCTGTAAAAACAAGCTCTGTCACAAACGAGGCATTTTGGTAAAGTTTTGCAGTTTCCATCTATTGCTAAATTGGAGAAATATGAGTTAGTTCAGGCAGTTTTGTCTGAAAATAAACTACATTTATTTGTCTCAACACAGGAGTTCAAAATTATTTTTTTAGCAAGTATAATGATGAGATTTATATGCTTTTATATATAAAGGCATAGTATTTTTTTTGGTATCATTAATCTACAATTACATGAAGAACATTATGTTTACTAGGCTCCCCCCATCATCAAGTCCCCCCCCACCCTATTAGTCACTGTCCATCAGCGTAGTAAAATGCTGTAGAATCACTACTTGTCTTCTGTGTTGCACAGACCTTCCCGTGCCCCCCCCATTATACATGCTAATCGTAATGCCCCCTTTCTTTTTCCCCACCCTTATCCCTCCCTTCCCACTCATCCTTCCCAGTCCCTTTCCCTTTGGTAATTGTTAGTCCATTCTTGGGTTCTGTGATTCTGCTGCTGTTTTGTTCCTTCAGTTTTTCTTTGTTCTTATACTCCACATATGAGTGAAATCTTTTGGTACTTGTCTTTCTCTGCCTGGCTTATTTCACTGAGCATAATACCCTCTAGCTCCATCCATGTTGTTGCAAATGGTAGGATTTGTTTTCTTCTTATGGCTGAATAATATGCCATGGTGTATATGTACCACATCTTCTTTATCCATTCATCTACTGGACACTTCGGTTGCTTCCATTTCTTGGCTATTGTAAATAGTGCTGCGATAAACATAGGGGTGCATCTGTCTTTTTCAAACTGGGCTGCTGTATTCTTAGGGTAAATTCCTAGGAGTGGAATTCCTGGGTCAAATGATATTTCTATTTTGAGCTTTTTGAGGAACCTCCATATTGCTTTCCACCATGGTTGAACTAATTTACATTCCCACCAACAGTGTAGGAGGGTTCCCCTTTCTCCACAACTTTGCCAACATTTGTTGTTGTCTGTCTTTTGGATGGTGGAGATCCTTACTGGTGTGAGGTGATACCTCATTGTGGTTTTAATTTGCATTTCTCTGATGACAAGTGATGTGGAGCATCTTTTCATGTGTCTGTTGGCCATCTGAATCTCTTCTTTGGAGAACTGTCTGTTCAGCTCTTCTACCCATTTTTTAATTGGATTATTTGCTTTTTGTTTGTTGAGGTGTGTGAGCTCTTTATGTAATTTAGATGTCGACCTTTTATCGGACCTGTCATTTATGAATATATTCTCCCATATTGTAGGATGCCTTTCTGTTCTATTCATGGTGTCCTTTGCTGTACAGAAGCTTTTCAGCTTGATATAGTCCCACTTGTTCATTTTTGCTTCTGTTTCCCTTGCCCAGGGAGAAGCTGCTCATGTTTATGTCCAAGAGACTTTTGCCTATGTTTTTTTCTAAGAGTTTTATGGTTTTATGACTTACATTCAGGTCTTTGATCCATTTTGAATGTGTATGAGGTTAGACAATGGTCCAGTTTCATTCTTTTACATGTAGCTGTCCAGTTTTGCCAGCACCAACTGTTGAAGAGGCTGTCATTTCCCCATTGTATGTCCATGGCTCCTTTATCATATATTAATTGACCATATATGTTTGGAGTCTCTATTCTGTTCCACTGGTCTGTGGCTCTGTTCTTGTGCTAGTACCAAATTGTCTTGATTACTGTGGCTTTGTAGTAGAGTTTGAAGTTGGGGAGCGAGATCCCCCCGGCTTTATTCTTCCTTCTCGGGATTGCTTTGGCTATTTGGGGTCTTTGGCGGTTCCATATGTATTTTTGAACTATTTGTTCCAGTTAGTTGAAGAATGCTGTTGGTAATCTGATAGGGATTGCATCGAATCTATAGATTGCTTTGGGCAGGATGGCCATTTTGATGATATTAATTCTTCCTAGCCAAGAGCATGGGATGAGTTTCCATTTGTTAGTGTCCTCTTTAATTTCTCTTAAGAGTATCTTATAGTTTTCACGGTATAGGTCTTTCACTTCCTTGGTTAGATTTATTCCTAGGTATTTTATTCTTTTTGATGTCACTGTGAATGGAATTGTTTTCCTGATTTCTTTCTATTAGTTCATTGTTAGTGTATAGGAAAGCCACAGATTTGTGTGTATTAATTTGGTATCCTGCAACTTTGCTGAACTCCGGTATCAGTTGTAGTAGTTTTGGAGTGGAGTCTTTAGGGTTTTTTATGTACACTATCATACAGTTTGACCTCTTCTTTACCAATCTGGATTCCTTGTATTTCTTTGTTTTGTCTAATTGCCGTGGCTAGGACCTCCAGTACTATGTTGAATAACAGTGGGGAGAGTGGGCATCCCTGTCTTGTTCCCGATCTCAGAGGAAAACCTTTCAGCCTCTCGCTGTTCAGTATGATGTTGGCTGTGGGTTTATCATATATGGCCTTTATTATGTTGAGGTTCTTGCCCTCTATACCCATTTTTGTTGAGAGTTTTTTTCATGAATGGATGTTGAATTTTGTCAAATGCCTTTTCACCATCTATGGAGATGATTATGTGGTTTTCGTCTTTCTTTTTGTTGATGTGGTGGATGATGTTGATGGATTTTCGAATGTTGTACCATCCTTGCATCCCTGGGATGAATCCCACTTCGTCATGGTGTATGATCCTCTTGATGTATTTTTGAATTTGGTTTGCTAATATTTTGTTGAGTATTTTTGCATCTACATTCATCAGGGATATTGGTCTGTGATTTTCTTTTCTAGTTGGGTCTTTGCCTGGTTTTGGTATTAGGGTGATGCTGGCTTCATAGAATGAGTTTGGGAATAATAAAGGCATAGTAGTATTATTACTCTTCTTGCACATAAATTATTTCAAAGTAATACTTAGAGTAGAACTAGAATACTTAAGAGGTAATAAAAAAGAAAACTGAAGTTCAATCTACATTGAATCTAGAATTCTCAATTGCACTTATTTAAAAAGATTGTATACGTTTCTTAGGAATAGTAAAGAACTGTATTTTAAAAATACTGCAATGAAAAAGCACACATTATCATAACCAAATGTGTGATTTATTTTCAGAGAAAAATAGTAGTATGAGATCATACCCTGGTTACATCTTAATTACTGCATTCTGTATATTTTGGATGTGCTCAGCATGTAGTCAATCATAATATGAGTGGACATGTGAGATTTAAAGATCACACACCACCTGCCAATGCTGTAAATTCATTGATATTGAAATAAATACCTAAAAATAAGGAAACTTTAAAAACTGAAGCCTTTGACAGTATTTAAAGATCAAACCAAATAGTACATACACTAGTATGCCAAATAAACTGACATTATTGGTAGTTTCCACTTAATTTCTTCATAATGTGACTGTCCGGTGTTGCATTAGTGAAGATACTTCCTACAAACACATGGGTACCCCAGAAACTATGACGAATCACTTTGCAGCAGCCAAGATCATCAACAGAGAATCCTAAGTGTCGATAGCGTTCATCTGTCTCAAAAAGAGTGTTGTTTGTATATGGTCCAAAAAACTGGAGGAAATGAAAAGGGAAGTCATATTTTCATTAGCAATACAGACAGTGGAGTTACAATTTTTTTGCTAACATGAACACTATCTATTTTAATTCTCCAAATATTTAGAAAATCAAGTAAGAAATAAAATAGTCACATGTAACACCTAAACAAATACTTCCTCGCCAACCAATACTTATGCATAGTGGAAATGCAAAATGATTTAGCACATTTCATGTTATCTAGGACCAAATGCATAATATTACAAGACCTTTAGAAATGGAGTAAACCTTAGACAATCATTCATGGTTTACCGTCAATCACTTTTTAGGTAGGGAAACTAAAGCCCAGAGGTTTTCGTTCTAATCTATTCTGTATCTTATTTGACTTTGAAAAGAAACTGTATATATTCCTACCTTATGATCCAAAAAATAAAGTTATTATTTATAACTGAAAAAAATACTCAGAATTTAAGATGTGACAATAATGATTCAGGTATTATCTTCGAAGTATAACTTTATAAATGTTAATTTCCAAAAGTTACTTTTCTAAAAATTTATTTTCCCATACATAATTTCTTAATTCTAAAAAGATTGTTTCATTGTTAAAGTAACTACTGATGGCCGATTTGTCACTAAAAAATAATAAACACACTAATTTAAGGAAAATCAAATAATATCTACTAGTGAAGATGGTAAATTTTTACTATTTATAATAAAAAATTTTTAGTGATAAACTTAACTGTAATAGTGTTCCCTCAAAGTTGTGAATGCTTCTTTGGGTAAAACTGTGAGGATTTAAAAAAGTCTTAAACAATACAGTTTTACCAAGGTGTAATTATAAACATTTTGTAATAACAATTCCTAGTTCAAATTTTATAATCTAGCTTTCAAAATTTATTTAATTACTCACTGCTGAACCAGATGATGGGTCAATAAAGTCAGCCCAATAGCCTTCAGCTCGAAGAGCATAGCAAATTTCCTTAGCACCAATGATGAACTGCAGAGACACAAATAATCTCAAGGTAGTATCACTACAGATTCTTTTGCTGCAGAGAGAAGACTCAATAAGGTTAATAAAAAATTAAAACAATGATAAATTAGACTGTAAAAAGCCACTAGATTATTTTCAACAGTTGAAAAGATTAATGGTTCATATAACACTTTCATTTGTTTCAAAAAGACTAAATTATATATTTTTCTTCTACATTATTTCCTATTTTAGGAACTATTTCTAATCATTGCTGTGCTATTAAGTCCCAAATTGGTCATGAATTATACACTATAGTTGCTATTTTGTACCATTATGTTAATATCAGAAATCAGGTAAGAAGGGGAAACAAAATATTCATAATGAAAAATACATGAACCATTCATTAGTTTGAATAAAAGTTGCTTAAAAACATGTACTTCTTTGTGTGTCCTTCAAAAACTACTCAGTCATGAAACGTCTCTGAAAAGACACATAAAAATACTAGGATAAATGGATAGAAGGGGTACAGGGTTGGAAAGGGTACATCTTACTACATATCCCCCCCGTGTCTTCTGTATAGTTTATAATCCTTACAGAGCAAGTATATGCTATTACCAATTAAAACCTTGGTTTTACCATCCTAATTCCTAGGATGTCCTTAGTAGCTTCATCAGAAGTCTAAGCAGTGAGAAAGACAGTAACAAATATTAGGATGTTAAAAAAAAAAAAGGACCAACCATAAAAAGTTAAAAACAAGGACACAGTTCCACTTCCAGCCATAACAGTTATAGGTACCAAACTGCCATCTGCTGAAAACTATAAAATTGAACAAAATATATGAGGCAGTTGTTTTTGGTTCCCAAACAGTAGTCAGACAAAACTGTAATCTTTGAGAGAAGGGAAACAAATGAGGTGATTCCCATATTTCTAGCTTTCTGTCTGGTGACACTTTCTTGCTGCAAGGCAAGGAAGTGGAGTCCAAGCAAAGGGATGGTGTCACTGTGCAGAGAAGGGAGGAAGCAAGAGTTCCTGACTGCTGATGCACCTGTTGTGGGGTAAAGTATGGGAGAAGGGAAAGACATATGTGCAAATGGGGCTCCTAAGTAGCTTGCAGAGCAATCTGCCCTGGTCTGGTAGTCTAGGGCTGACCTATGCATGCAGAAGGTGAGATTCCATGGGTGTCAGCTGTGGGGCTGAGAGCTGAATGGTGCTATTAGGGGTCATGCAATTCTAGGTTAATATGTATTTCTGGCCTGCCAAGTTTCATGAGACCTCGCTGAGCACCTCTGCCATACAGCTGAGATCCCCAAAAGTCCAATTTTAGGAATTTTGGACATATCCTAAAATATGGGGTTAGCAAGCTACTGCCCAAGGGCCAAATGGCTGGCTGCCTATTTGTGTAAGTATAGTTTTACTGGAACACAGCCATGCCTGTTCACTTATATACTGTCTATAGTTGCTTTAACAGTACAAGGGTAGAATTGAGTAGCTGAGACCCTATGACCTAAAAAACCTAAAAATTTATTATTTGGCTCTTCACAGAAAAAGTTTGCTGACCCATGCTATAGAGGTATATAACTTATGCTAACTTACTTTTTCTCAGTACTTTCTTGTAAACTAATGAAAAACATTAATAATGTATTCTTTAGGTGTTTTCATACTTAATACTTTTTGCTGTATTTCATTAATTCTCATTAATTTTAAGAATAGGAAAACTACTGAATATGGTCTAGGAAAGTCATTAATGAACAAATGTACCATATACAAAAGCTACAAGGAGAACAAAACAGTGCAATCAAATGTTTGCAAAGGTTAAATAAAGGAATCCCAAATTATCACAAAAAACCAGTTTCAAGCATTTTGCTTAAGATTTCTGCTCATCAAGAGCAACACTGACATCTGGTGGAAAAATTAGAATAGATTTAAACCATAAACAAAATATCTACTTCAACAGTAAGCTACATGTGGTTCTAACATAATCACTATAATCAATAATCAATAATTGAATTAATTAAAAATTAAAACTAATAATAGCATTTTTAAAATAGAAGGACCTGGTTTTATCATAGAAAACAAAATAGCTTCAGTCATTATAAAATTGAGAATCATATGATACAGCATGTTGCCATTTTTGAAAGCTCTGAAATTTGTTACAGAAAATTGACTTTTCACTATATTGGGATCAGTATCAAATGATATGCTCAAAATTTTTAACATCAAATATTAGGACCATTAATGCAATGCACGTGTGTACTCTAGCAACTTCATGATAAGTATACATTTACCAAGCACTGTCTAAATAACTCAGTAAACATTTTCTATTTACATAGTGCCTAATTAAATTTCAACTCTCTAGATTCAGGTCTCTTTAACATCTGAGGGAATTTCTAATGTATCTCTGTAACTTCCTTGTTAACTAGCATATAATTTGCTCATGATTGTTAACTACTACTTGAAATTTACTATCAAAGCTGTGTGTGGGACATAAAATATGAAGTCATTATCATAAAACACTATGTTCAGTATGTAAGTTACATCTTCAAAAATGAACAGAACCATATATACAACCTTGAAGAAAATAGAAAATATTCCTAATATTATTCTGCATGGAAATTAGTAAAGGGAATTTTTTCAACCATCGTTTGCCAAGGTTCCTGAATGAGTTAATCTTGACCTGTCATACAGGCAAAGGAATATTCCATTTTATCATACAAGACTTAAGTTACCACTTATCATTTCTCAGGTTGGTAAAAATGAAAAGAAATGCTAATATTTAGGGTAAGCAGGGTGACAGCATATATACTAGGACAATCTTTTTAGTGGGAAAATTGGCAGTGTCTACCAAAACTTAAAATGAATAAACCTTTCGAAACCACAATTTCCTATTTAGGAATCTACAGATTTAACTATGTGCATAAAAATATATGTGCAAATATATTCTATGCCTGTAATTGCAGAAGTTGATTTCCAACTTGTAAAATACTAAGAAAATTTACCAATAAAAAAAATTTATGGATTGCCCATGCAACATTAATAGTAGGCAGATTTTATAAAGAACAAAATATATCAATGTGTAATGCTATGGAAAGGTGTCAAACCCACCTTCTGGTTAAAAGTAAAGGACAGGAAAAAAATGTAGGTATATAGTAGTATTGTACTATATACTGGTACTATTACTCCTTGAAGAAAGATGGGATAATTTTCACTTTTTATCTGACATGCTTCAAAGAGAGGAAAGGAGATAGGGAGAGAAGAGGATCAGAGAATGAAGGGTATGAAGAGTTAATTTTACTTTTTTACTGTTTTTTTTTCCCCTTTATTGTCCAAATTTTCTAAAACAGACAAATTCAAAAAAAGAAACTGAGGAAGGAACTGGACAAAATCTAAGTTTTTCAAAGATATTAAAAAAAAAGGCATTTTTATTCTCAGAAAAGATCTAAGTCCTTTAGTACTGAAATATGTTAGCAGAGAATTAATAAAGGCTAGAAAAGACACACATCGTTGTAAAACACTGGTTTATTGGTATTTAAGTAAGATCTTAAAATTGTCATTAACTGAAAAAATTACCTTTTCTAAGAGCATTTCTCTTTCATTTTCTACTTCTTCACTCCAAACAGTCATGTCATTCTTAGTTTTCTGTGTCACAGTCAGAATCATTAGTTTCTTGGTGGTTACTTCTGGAAACAGTGATTCAAAATCTATAAATGAAGTAAGAATAAAAATTTCGGAGGGAAAATAATTTGTTTTTTAAAAAAAGATACAGAACATACAAATACTTAAGAAAAATGATTAAATTATTGTGGTATCAAGTTAGGGTTATAAATGCATATTATTTTTGAAAAGGATGAAATGAACTTAGTTTTGGTTAACTTACATTGCCACCAGTTATGAAAAGTTGGGTTCTTGTTACTGCTAAGACTAAGATTTTTCTCAGTATTGCATGTTAGCTCATGAAAATTATAGCTGTAACAATCACCCAGGAATGGAATTACTTTAAAGAAATATTTAGGGAAATAGTTATTAAAAATTCTATTATGCCAATCTAATGGCAACACGAGGACAGATGTTGGGGGACATTTAAGAGCCTTTATCTTGGCCATGCAATCATTTCCAGCCAGACATGTTAAAATATTTAGTTATAAAGCATTACAATTCCTTATGGGGTACATTATTCAACACATTTAAAAATTAGTGACGTCATCTAATATGTATTAGTGTGAAAATGTACAAAGGACAATATACCTCTTCGCAGCAACTCTGGACACATCTGGATCGCACACTCTACTTTGGCGCTTTCAAAATAAGTTTCTGCACTGTTGACTTCTTGTTCAACAGGTGCATCGTTACCCTACGGGGAATAAGAAATGTAAGTAAACTGGAGTTTATTATTTATTATAAAATCTGGAGTTCAAATCAAATATCTTGCCATATGAATTTGTCAGCTCTAAATTAAAGTTTCTTTAATAATCCTAATTTAACTGGAGATGGAATAACAATGTTCTTATTTACTCAAATTTTTCTCTGATGATTTGAAAATTTTAAGAAAGTTAAAAAAATATGAAGATATGAATATATTGATATTCTAAGACTTGATATGAATAGAAGTTGGCTAAGAAACTAACTAAAATGCCATAATTGTGTTTTACAATGTCCCCTCTTCTGAAATTGAGATATCTTGTTATCCTTTTTCTTTCATTCTGTAATCTGTAAAATGGGGATAACAACACTAACTTACAAAATAACATGATTCAATATACAGCCTCTTCTACAACAAGAGCTTACAAGCTTCTACTCAGATGAAGTTTACAGGACACCTACTATACATCAGACAGTGACAACAGCAGGCCCAACAATGATAAAAATAATCCCATCTTTACTCTAAAGCATCTTGGAGCCAGTAGAAGAAAAATAGCATGAACAAATAAATGTAATCCAATTATGAAAAGTGCTACAGAGTAATGAAAAAAGTCTTTTGGTGATACAAATGGGTAAGAAACTTGCTTTGCTGGGAGAAATGAAGAAAGGGTTGAAATCATCATATTTGAGCTACATATTAACAGGTATGTTTGATAAGTAAAGAATAGGTGGAATGTAGATTAGGAATTCAGGAGGAAAAACAGCTTAGCAAGATATAATAACAGCAAAAAGGCATGCAATTATCAAAGAGAATGGTATAATTACAAAAAATGAAAAGTATGATGCAATTGGGGTGCAGGAGTACAAAGTAGTACGAGGTAAAATGGGAAAGGCAAGGGATCAAAATTGTGGGAAGCCATTTATGCCACCTTAAGAAATTCTGACTTTATAATATAAATCAGGAATAGCAAGATTAAATAGAAAAAGCTAATGCTAGTATTACCATGGAGGATGTGTGGTAATGAGGAAAAGCAGGTGATAAACCAGTAATAGCCAACATTTATTGATCACTTATTGTATTTAAGTGCTTTACATATATTTGCACATTTAATCCTCATAGCAATTTTGTGGGCTAAGGGTTATTACAATCCCCATTTTACATATAAAAGAGGCTCAGAAAGGTTAAGTAACTTTCTCAAGGTCACAAAATTAAATGGCAGAGCTTATCTTTGAAGCCAGATTTATCCCATCCGCACAGTCCATCCTACTATAAATGCCTCTAAGAATCAAGGTAGGTAAGGAGCCTTGAACTCTGGCAGTATCAGTGAGAGTTGAAAGGGTACAAATAATTTTAAGAGCTACTTCACAGATGGAAGCAATGCAACTTTGTCACCGTTTATGGGGTTATGATGGAGAGAGGAATTAAGTTTGGTACTAAAGTTTTCATCTTGGGATAGTGGGACAATGACTAAGTCATTATACTGATGATAATATAGGAGTATGGCCAGGTTTTGAAAGAGAAAAGGACTACTTCAGTCATAGACATGTAAATTCTTCATTCAGTACTAGACATAAAAAATCCAGGGACCTGTGAGACATCCAGATAAAGATGTCTGGCAGGCAGATAGGAATACTGAACAAGGTATGTCAGAGATAGAAACAGTTAAGTTAGGAATTATAAAAAAACATAGCCTGTGGAGAAAGCCAAGGGATTAAGTGACTAGGGGGTAATTCAAATGAGAGGATGAAGGGCAGAACCAAATGGGAAATATGTATTTGGTAGGCAGGAAGAATAAAGATGAAGAAGAAGGAATTATCTATAAAAGGTCAGGGGAGGTCCCAACTGTTTCAATGTAAGGTTATCCAAAAAAAATCCATAATAATTTGAAGGGCTGTTGCATTTAATAATATGGCTTTGATAAAAAACCCAGCCTAAAACTATGAAGAAATGCAAAAAATGATAAGGATCAGGGAAAGAGCTGACAGAAACTCTGAATTGCATTTAAGTTTCCACTTGAGTCATGCAAAACCAGTTTAAAAACTCATTTAAAAAGCTCACAGAAAAAACTGTTTTAAAAAATACCTATTTATGAGTCTTTTCACTTTACTGTATCTGAAGAATTTCAGAGATCTCAAAATTTTCGTACATTTTTATATGGCTACAGGAGTATAAAGCTCAGTAGATTTTGGTCCATATATAAAAATTATAACTACCATTTGTAAAAGGGAACCTAAATCTTCAGTAATACAGAAATAATTAAATTACCTATATTTGAAATGAGTAGTTATTAACAGATATATATATTAAAAATTTTTATTAAGGTATTATTGATAAACACTCTTATGAAGGTTTCACATGAAAAAACAATGTGGTTACTACATTTACCCATATTATCAAGCCCCACCCATCCCCCAGTGCAGTCACTGTCCATCAGTGTAGTAAGATGCCGCAGATTCACTTTTGCCTTCTCTGTGCTATACTGTTTTCCTCGTGATCTACCGCACCATGTGTAACATAATACCCTACTAAAAAAGATATTTTTGAAGAATTATTTAATTACCTAAAAGACTGTTATCTAAAGTTAAGTAAAAAAATTATATAGTAAACACTATATATAAGACAATGACAAGTTTTTAAAAGCCATATATGTTGTCTTTGTATATATTGGAATTACACAGATTTTTAAAAACTCTTTCACAGAAAGTAATATGCTCTTAATTATGAGAAAGTAAAAAATCACAATGATTAGAAAAACAGAATAAATGATATTAACAATTTACCTGAAATTCGTTAATGTATTGTGCCATCACAAACTCATGTCTTTCACTTGATAAAGGTTCTGCTAGAACATCAGGTAGAGTTTTTTGGACCTGGCTTTTATTCTGTGGTGCAGTCCCATTGAGGTGACAATCAAAACCTATGTTCCCAGGAAGCTGGAATCTCTGATCTTGAGGTCCAAATGGTCCCATAGTTTCATCAGGCCACACTGTTTGAGAGCCTAAAGAACAACAAAATTTTTTCATCTTCTCTTAAACAGTCAAGTGCATTGGCAGACTGAAAGAATGCTCTTCTTCCAAATAGGTATTTTTACCTAACTGACAGATCTTTAGAATTTGCTTTCCTGTGTGAATATTAACTAGTTTTAGTCATTTCCAAAACACTAATCAAAGCAAGCAGTTGCTAGCTCAAAGGCAAGTTCATAATTAGGGGATGGATTCAATAAAGTGCTTTAATTCATATTATGTAATGTTTGGTAGTCTTTAAAAAGAATGTAGTAAATCTTTACTGATACTGAACAAAGTATTACATATTACATTAAAAGAAAAAGCTGTGTCAGAGAATAGTATATATGACACTTATTTTATATCCTTATGTTTTTAAATACAGAAAAAAGATGTAAAAGGAAAGACAATGAACTTAACAGTGCTTATCTCTGGAGAGGGGTATTCAACAGCTGTTACCCAGAACATTAATGGGCTGAGAAAAATCTTGTGTGAACCATTGTGACTTAATGCCCTTTTTACCATTCACATGGGTTAATATGAATTAAATGCTTATAGAACAGACCACATTATATATAGGCACACCTGGTTTTATTGTGCTTCGCAGATAGTGCATTTTTTTTTTTTTTTTACAAAGTAGAGGTCTGTGGCAATCATTCATGCAGCAAGTCTGCTGATGCTGGTTTTCTAATAGCATTTGCTTACTTCATGTCTGTGTCATATTTTGGTAATTCTTGCAATATTTCAAACTTTCATTATTATACTTGTTATAGTAATCTGTGAGCAGTGATTACAACTCACTAAAAGCTCAAAGAATGGTTAGCATTTTTTAGCAATAAAGTATTTTTTAATTAAAGTATGTACATTGTTTTTATAGACATGCTATTGCATACTTGAAGACTATAGTATAATGTAAACATAACTATTACATGAACTGAGAAACTAAAAAATATATTTGACTTGCTTGTTATATTCCCTTTACTGCAGTGGTCTGGAATTGAACCAGTAATATCTCTGAGATATGCCTGTACTTAATTCACTTAAAAAAAATACCCAAACTTTGGAAAACCAGACAAAAATATCCAGATAAGAATAAAGCAGAAAATATAACAAAGAAAAAACTGAGTAGGAGTTTTGTTTAGAGAAAGGGACAACTGTTTCAGACATTTGATGGCAATAAAAATATTAATAACTCTGCCAGAACTGAGTGACTGAAAATGCCTATGTCAATATGGCTGCTCAATCACAAGATCACAAGTGCCATCATATCCCTCTTCCAGACCTATGACCGATATCACCGTTCAATCATAAATTCTTTCTTGCTGAACCCAGACACAGTCTCATAATATCAATCCAAACACTCTAGCCCAAGAGTTCTCAAACTTTTAAGTACTTAAGAATCTTCTGAGATCTTGTTGAAATGCTGATTAGGATTTAGTAGGTCTGGAGTACGGCTCAAGATTCTTCATTTCTAATGGGCTCCCAGATGATGCTGACAGAACTGGTCTGCAGATTATATTTAGCAAGGCTCTAGGTAGCCACTAATGATTGACTGGAGTCAGTTTACAAGCTAAAAACATATTAGCTATTTTGAACAAGATGGGTTTTAATGACTATTCAGATCTAACAGTTGAATAAAAAAAATCCCTTATTAATAGTGGATTTGAGTGTATTTTCATCTGTTTACTGGTTATTTAGGTTTTCTCTTCTGGGAATACCCTATCCATATTCATTAAAAAAATTTTTTTTGTTTGGTTTTCCACTGGGTTGTCTTTTCCCTATTCTTCTATAAACAAATCTTTATATATTCAGGATATAAGCCCTTTACATTATTTTGAATGACAAATCTTTCCTTTCATTTATGAAACATACATATACTTAGCCTTCAGATGATGTAAACCAGGGAGTAATCAGAGATGGAGTAATAAAAGAAAACCACAGCAAGAAAACTGGGGAAGGCCTTGCCAAAGCCCAAGTGAACTTACACTGCATTGTAAATAATGTGGTGTGTGAAAAAAGGATTCCATGTGCAATTCCTTTAGGATACATTAGGTTAAGATTCTAAGAGTCCTTACTTAATATTTTAGTGTGCATTATAAATCTCCAAGATAGAAATATGGTAAATAGCATTTCTCAAACTTACCTAATCACAGAACTTTAAAAAGAAGTTTTTTAGACATTGAACAATGACTTACAGCTTGAGGACAGTTTGGGAACTGTTATGAAAGCAGTGGGAGATAACCAAAGTTTATCAAGGAAGTGACATGATTAAAATATTTTGGATTAGTATGTTAATATGCTATCTTATCCACGTGTGCAAAACGGGTAAGAAGCAGACTTTGTAGATTAGCGGGTAAGTTATTGTTCAATAAACACTATTATCTAAAAAGTGGCAGCTACACTTAAGAAATTCAGCAAAGAATGGTGCTAAGTAGTAACAAAGTTTAACAAGATCAAAATAATATATGTTTCAGAATTGTGTATGTTTGAAAATATTTAGGAAAAAACTAATATTTAAGAAAGTAAGTTTCAGAAACCAATATTCACTCTTTCTTTTCTATACTGTAGCTTTCTGATATATTTAGGCAGAGCTCTGATTTTTATTTTCAATGGCATAAACTCAACTTCAGAAAACACACATAACTCAAACAGTTTTCAAATGATTGTAAGTCAAGCAATAATAACTTTTACTTACATATATCTGGGGGTGCAGTGGTCAAATGAGATTCATCAGAACCTGAAGATCCTGCTGTTGAAAAGGCTTTGGGATTGACCACCTTTTTAACTAAAGAGCAAAATCCTGGGAGATAGGAAACCAGTCTGGCTCTGTTACAGAGCACCTAAGAATGACACAAAAATTAAAATCATTTTTTCTGGATATAAATGTTTTACATACATATACAACCTTTGGCAAATCCTTATAGTGCAATGTACGTTTTAAAACAAACATTTATTCTATTACTAAGTAACTACCATATGATACACATTATGTTTATACTTTAAAAATAAACATGAATATTGAAAAAAAATCAAATAAATTACTTTGGGTAAAAGTATATGGTTTTTCCAATAAAGGCCAGAATCAAAAGTGCCACATTAGAGAGAATGGGAACCTGTAAAAGTTTTCCTCTTATCAACATTAAGTTGATAAGTATTAAGATTTTTCTATTCTCAAAATAAATAACTTTCAAAATTTCTCTTAGAACCAAAACCTGTTTACTTTCTCTTTTCTTCTTTTACTTCTAGTAAATGTGCTAATTATCTCCCATGCCATCTTTCCTCTTGGTTTTGTGGCAGTGCCCACTTTCTTCCATTTTAGCACATATTGTGGGACATTTTTTGCTTATTTCATTTCCTAGACTCTGAGGTTAGTTATGATGCACAAATGTGTAAACATCTTTCATGCATAAACTTTCAGCCCAATACCTGGGTCATAATGATTTAATGCAGGAGATGGCAAACTATAACCAAATACAGCCTGTTGTTTTTGTAAATAAAATTATTCTGTAATGTAGCTATATCCATGTATGTATGTATGTATTGTCTGGCTACTTTCATGCCATAATGGGTGAATTAAGTAGTTATACTGAGACTATGGCCCACAAAGGCTAAAATATTTACTATCTGGGTCCATTATATTAAAAAAAATTGCTTCTAGTTTAGTGAAAGATGTAAGAGCAAATATCATATCATCTATGAAATACTATTAAAAGATTTGAACAACTGAGAGATCCTTGAGGGAGTAGGAAGTTTCATGGAGGGTATATTAGGTTTTGAAGAAAATAGAAATTTTCAGGGCAAAGTAGTATTTCATGAATGACTTTCAGGAACAAAGACATATATACATAAAAGGTATATTCAGTGAGGCTGGATACAAGGGAGTGTAATAAAAAACAGGCTTCAAAGTTAACTTGTGGGCAACTATAAAGGCTTTATACTTGACACAGTAAAGGGCTGTTATATCAAGATAATTTTATATCAAAATAATAATCAGAACTTTAATCTACAGGCAGAGGAGAGCAAACTAACAAAAATAAGGGATATTTTAAAGAATGTACTACTAAGGGCAGTATGTAGAGAATGGATTGCAGTGGGGTCAGAGAGGTGGTATGAAAACTAGTTACCAGGATCTTGAAAGATTCTAGTCCTTTGATCCTTTAGAATCATTCTTTTTCTCTTTCATATAGTATTCTGAAATCCAATCTGTATGTGTTGTATTTCTTAGAAGTATAAGTCAACCATCCTAAATGGTCTTTCCACCTCTCTGGCATACTTTCTTACTTTCCCTTTACCTTCCCCTTCCTTCCTCTCCTCTTTAGTTCCAAAAAATATCTACCCAACATTTCCCATATTTCTCTGCCTTCTTTTATACTGCAACAAGATTCCTTCTGCTAAAATTCCCTTTTCCCTTTTCTTCTGTGCCTTTAAATTAACTCTTTCTTCAAGACTGGGAGAAGCAGAACCTCCTTCACATGTTCCATAGTGTAAGCCCTGTCTCCGGAGTACTTTGCCCACCTGAAAATTTAAGCATCCTCCCTTTGGTCTGTGCCTAACCTGCTCAAAGAGACAAATGCAGTGATTATCAGGCTTTTTACCTACTAGACAAACTCAAGACTTTTGAGTGTTTCTGTATTATAAATTTACCTTTATAATTTGAGGACATTTAACAGAATATGCCTCAGGAGCTAAAGGTAATTGAAAAATTTAAATTCCAAAAATATTTTGAGCAAAGCCTCAGAGTAAAAGTCTCAGTAAGATATTATCTGAAGGGGGTAATACTAAATAGTAAATAATTTAATTTAAAAAAATCAATATGATGTTAGTTACTATGGGCCAGATCCTGTGATACGTTGTTTACTTAATTTCTACAACACTTCCATAAACCATTGTTAACATTACTTTATTAAAATATTGTGATTCTTCACAAGCAAAATGGAAGGAAAATGAAGATTATCCAATTGTTTTAGCCACTCCCTAATATAATCAATGATTATTTTAGTCTCTGAATACCAAAGCCACTAAATTCTATTTTGATATTTTTTATTGATGGTAAAACTTTTAACAAAAGTTACGTGATAAAATGGCAGTTTGTTCTCTAAGAAAATCTAATCACCAAGTTTCATTTTTAATGGCAAAATAAACCAGTATCTAATTTGTTCATTATAAGGGATAGCTGATGACTATACTAATTTGTTTCAAAAGTTTACCCTTTAACCTGAATGATCCTCAAATCCTTTACTGTGGAGGTAGAATATTTTGTACCAACTTGACAGACTTTATGACATTAGATCAGTTGGTGAATTTATTAAAAATGACTGCCAATAAATAGCTCAAAAATCAGATCAGTTTATTTTAATTTCAGAATAAGTGTATTTTATATATGATTTATTGACTTGGGAAGATGACTGGCTGTTTAATTTAAAAATCCCTATTAGTGTATGAAGAAAAAGTCTTTTATGAACTAAGTCCTGCTTTTGGTCATGTGAGGAGAAAATATGGTCTATACCAGACTGAAAGCTGGTTGTCTATGAAGCTCATCCATATCCATCCACAGATGTTTTTGTGGAATTCACAATATTACCAAAAGTTTACCAAACTAGATACCAACACAGAGAAATTGTGAGGTTTCACACAAAAGGTCCAGGTTTTTGGCTGATCTTCAAAACTCAATCTGGCAACACTAGATTCCCATTCCCAAATGGCATTAGCAACAAATGACTGTAGCTAAGGAAAGGCTGCCTCCTTTATATCAGAAGAGTGTTTCAGTTTGTCAGTTCCCTCCAAGATCTCTTATTTTACCTGTTCCAGCCTCTGAAGCATGGGCATTTATAGCTATGTATGTAACTAAACTGCTGAAGACACACATCTGCATATTTCATTACAAACATCCATTTAGCATTTACAATGAATATAAACTAACACAAATTTTTAAAAGTTTATTTGAATACTGAAATGAATATTTTATATGAACTTTTAACAATAAAGGATTTATAAAAGTATCTTTCAAATGCTGACCCTACTGAATTCTTTATTCATTTTAAAATAAAATAAAGCCAGGGCAAATATTAGCATTCCATTGATATTCCCATCTCCTCTGAGAGCACCACGTTTCTTTTACAACATTGCCTTCACGTGGGCATGGATAGGCAGACCTTCATCTTAAAATGTGGCCAAGACTAGTGGTCTACTTTTTTGACTTGTACCTATAGTCACATCATTAGACTCTTAATATATTCTGCTCAGTTAAAAAGCAGACTGTCCTGGCTAACTGTTGCCATATTAATCCTCCTAACACACAGCTCTGATGAAGTCATCACAATTTTAATAAGTCTAAATTACTGAGTTTGGCATTTAAGTCTATTACTTGATCCCAACTCCACAAACCACCTATCTCTTTCACCCATTTTACATTCAGGAAGGCAGACGGCTTCAATTCCAAAAGGGGAGGTGGTGTTTTTTGACTATACCTCATGTTCTTCACCCAAACCTCAGATTATCTAAATCCCACCCATCTTTCAAAACTCAAATGCTTCTCTAAGTGATCCTGAGCCCCAACTCTCCCTTCTTCACAAAGCTTTGAATCTGCATTACTCCTCTGCGTAGCTTGTACAAAATTACTACTTACTACTTTCATTGTAGCTGTTTTATGTGTCTTATGTCCCTTCTATATGAACTTCTTACATTAGTGTGTGTCTTCTGTGTGTCTGATTAATCCCAGGACAGTTCGAGTCAATAAATATTTCTGGTCTGTGTAAATAATATTACTTGCTCTCATTTTATAAGTTTTAAAAGTTACTTCCTGTACTGAAACTACCATAAAACCTTCAGTTTAGCTAGCCAAAGAAATTTTTAACACGCTTAAAAATAGATTCTAGATATTTACCGAAATATTGTCTTTAAAAATATTGAAAGGATGCTGGTACTGGATGCATTTCCAAAAGTGAACTTGTAGAAACAAGTACACGTGTATTAAAAAGAATATTTGTCTTCAAAAGCACAATACGATGATTTCACACCCCTTGCCTCCCTTGACATTTTTCATACATTAAGTCTAAGCCCAAGAAACATGATGCCATCAACGCCATCATAATTAAGCCCGTCCCTCCACTTCCGAACAAGTTCCCCAATTATTTGACTATGGTGCTGAAGAGACTCATTTACTCACACTGGCCATTTCTAGCGAAGAGGGCAGACGCAAAGAGTCTTTCCGTTTGTGAAGTTTTTCCTGGGAAAGGGCAGAACAGAAGAGGCGAGTGCCTGATTAAGCTCTTAACATCGGGCAGCGTGCGTAACTTACGTCCATCGTCTTGCACTGTGCGTCCCTCCACGACGACAGGCCAGTCTAGGCGCTCCCCGCTCCCCGAGGCGGCTAGAATTCGCCCCCAGCCCCTCGGGGCGCACAGACCCCGCCCGCCCAGTTTGTTCCCGTAAACCTCTCGGACCAGATCGGGGCGGGGACAGAGGAGCCGGCGGCCAGCGTCAGAGTCCCGAGCAACAAAGCAGCTGTTTCAATAAAGGCCGGGGCTGCGCGACAAAAGCTCCAAGCCAAGCTCCAGCTGAGCGGACGGGAGAATAAGAGAAAATAGTGACAGGACGACAGGGGAGAACAACTGGGACCCTGGGGGAAGAGGGGCAATACCGAATGCCGTGGCTCGAAGACGCGCGAAATCGGACGGGCTGACGCGGGCGGAAACCATCCGTACCAATCACCGCCGCCGCCGCCCGCCGTCCCAGACCCTCAGTCTTCCCGCTGCCAAAATGGTGGCAGCCGCGGCAGCTGCGGCACGTCCCCGCGGGCAGCGACCAGGCTGAAGGAGTTGCTTCCGAGCGCATCGATGGGAGGGATCGTCGAGTCGATGATTGCGCACGCGCAGAGTGAGGTGGTGCGACGCCCGCGGGAAGAGAAGTGGGCTCCGGAGCTGGGTCGGGCCGGTCCGTTTCATTCCTTTTCTTGGCTCGTCGATCCGTTTGATGGAGTCCTCCCACCCCAAGACTGCCTCACTGCCCCTGGGAGGGACAGTCTTCCGTTCTTTGTCCCAGTTTATTTTTCACGAATCACTGTTTTTGAGCATAGAGCACTTACGTTTCTTCTCTTTGACTACCAAGCCCGTAACAGGATCAATAAGTATATGTCACACAACTTATTTATAAATAATCTATCATCTTGTGTCAGTTGTATTTTTTTAAATTAACAAATTCATACTTTATTCCTATTGATATTTCTGGTTAGGACATGTTGGGCAAGTTACTTAGTTAGTCTCTTTATGCTTTTGTGTCCTCAGTTCTAAAATGTGAATTATAAGAATGCCTGCCTCATAGACAGAAGTTTAAATAAGTTTATATATAGCGAGCAACACACACACACACACACGCACAGCTTGGGAGTCACAGATGTCTTACACACACACAGACACACACACCTTGGAGCTTGGGAGTCACAGATGTCTTACACACACACACACACACACACACACACACACACCTTGGAGCTTGGGAGTCACAGATGTCTTACACACACACACACACCTTGGAGCTTGGGAGTCACAGATGTCTTACACACACACACACACCTTGGAGCTTGGGAGTCACAGATGTCTTCTGAGAAGATACCCCTGAGCTGAGTGTTGAAGTTACTTACAATTCATTACTTTTTCATGCCTCATAATTTCTCTCGGTTTGGCTCACTTGCTCAGGTTCTATAACAAGATTCGTGGTTGAGTGATGATTATAAACTTTTTGAGACCGAAAACATATGCTATTCATCTTTGCCACGACAGAAAATCATGTCAGGAACAGGCGAGAGAGAAAAGGAGTCATGATCAGCGGCGTGGCAGGAGGCTGTCAGGGAATAACTTTGCAGCATAGGTGATGCTTGCACCGTGTTTTGAAAGATGAGTCGGTGTTTGCTTGAATGCCAAGAAAAGAGGTGAGGAAATTTCAGTCAAAGGATGAAATGGGAACAGAAGAATGAAATCCATAATACTATGAACAGTTGGGGAGATCCACAAGTTAGCAAGGGATTGAATATTGAATTGGAAGTAGACAGGGAACAGATCATAATCAGCCTTCAGTACAGTACTAAAATAGATGTAATCCTGGAAGCAATGAGAAGCAACTGGGAAGATTTAAGCAGAGTCATGGCATTATCAAGTTTGACTCCTGGGAATATCCTCTGGCTGCAGTGTAGAGGAAAGATTGGAAGGGTGTGGGACTGGAATTGGATCAACCTGATAGGAGACTATTGCTGTATCCATGAGACAGAACATGAAAGCCTGAACTAAGGGCAGGGGGAGGTTAATGAATCAACACAGCATAGCTCCATTGGTCGCAGGTGAGGAAAGGGGAGAAGTTGAAGATGTGCTTTTAAATTTTGACTTAGGATATTCGGTGAAGGGATTGCTTTTGCTGACATTGGGAATCCAGTAATATTAATATTTGTGGAATGTATGCTATGTGGTGGCACTTGGGCAGGGATTTTCTTATTATCTCTTTAATTCTCCTAATAATCTAGAAAATGGTGGTATTAACTTCATGTTAAATAAGAAATTAAAGCACCAAGAGGTTCAGTATATTACTGAAGATTCTAGGGCTGGGTTTAAATCTATGAGGCTCAAAACAGTGTTCTTTTTCCAACAGGTGTTTTAGGAGAAAGACAAGTTTGGTTTGTGGTATCTTGAGTTTTAAGATGCCTAAGGGCATTCATTTGAAGTTGTCCTTAAATTGTTTGAAAGTAGGCCTATTGTTCAGAAAGTGGTTTATGTGTGGGAACAGATTTGAGAATCATTTGGGTAATGTTAAAGCCATAAGGACCCCTTAGTCTGAAGTTCAACAGGGGGCTTTATTGGAAGGAAGGCAGGTCTGTGAAACTTCTGAAAATATATGCAAAATATTGTGTATTTGTAAGTAGATCCATTTTTCCCCCCTAGGGAGAGGGTGCATAGCTTCTACAGATTCTTAAATGAGTTCATGACTGAAAGATCAAGAGCCACTAGTGTAGAGTATAAAGAAGGGCAAAAACCAGAACACTAGGAAATATTAAAGGGGTAACAGAAGAAGAGAAACTAACCATGGAGACTGAAAATTTTCAGAGGTTAGAAGGAAATCAGAAGAGAATTTTAGACATCAAGAAGATGTTAAACAACAACAAATGTTGGCGAGGTTGTGGAGAAAGGGGAACCCTCCTACACTGCTGGTGGGAATGTAAACTAGTTCAACCGTTGTGGAAAGCAGTATGGAGGTTCCTCAAAAAGCTAAAAATAGAAATACCATTTGACCCAGGAATTCCACTTCTAGGAATTTACCCTAAGAATACAGCAGCCCAGTTTGAAAAAGACATATGCACCTCTATGTTTATTGCAGCACTATTTACAATAGCCAAGAAATGGAAGCAACCTAAGTGTCCATCAGTAGATGAATGGATAAAGAAGATGTGGTACATCACACAATGGAACATTATTCAGCCATAAGAAGAAAACAAATCCTACCATTTGAAACAACATGGATGGAGCTAGAGGGTATTATGCTCAGTGCAATAAGTCAGGTGGAGAAAGACAAGTACCAAATGATTTTACTCATGTGGAGTATAAGAAAGAAAAAACTGAAGGAACAAAACAGTAGCAGAATCACAGAACTCAAGAATAGACTAACAGTTACCAAAGGGAAAGGGACTGGGGAGGATGGGTGGGAAGGGAAGGATAAGAGGGGGGAAAAGAAAGGGGCATTACGATTAGCATGTGTAATGTGTGTGGGGGGCACAAGGAGGGCTGTACTACACAGAGAAGACAAGTAGTGATTTTACAGCATCTTACTATGCTGATGGACAGTGACTGTAATGGGATTTGTGGGGCGGACTTGGTGATTGGGGGGGGGCGTCTAGTAAACATAATGTTCCTCATGTAATTGTAGATTAATGATACCAAAAAAAAGAATATGTTCCCAAAAGGTCTTATCCATCCTATTTGGTAAATAGGGACTTGTGACTTTGCCAGAGGAGTTTCATTTCATTGGAGTAGCAGGGGGATGGAATTTTGATAATTAGGTTTTCAAAGGATAAAACATAAACCTCTTCAGGACAGACTTTATCTTTTTGTTCACTGTATTCCTGCCATAGAGAGGTGATCAATAAATATTTGTTGCAAGTTGAACAGATGAAGTCGTGACCATTAACATCAAGTTATTATTAATGACAGCTGCTTTTTGTTGTTCTATTTCTAGGCACCATACCTCCTCCACAACATCTACCTACCCAACAACTGGGCTGGGAATAGCAATGTCTACACTGCAGAAATGAAGAAGCTGAGACCCAGAGAGGCTGAGTAAACTGCCTGATGCCGTGCAACTACATGTAGTGATGAATGTGACATTCAAACTTGGATTGATTGGTCTGATGCCAAAATCTGTTTCTTCCACAACAGTAAAACTAAGGAGAAGAAGGGAGAGGTGAGTACCTGTCTCTCAACAGTTATTTAAATTTTCCCCTATTTGCTTTCTTTCTTTCACTCTCTCTTGGAATGTTTTTATTCTCAGAGACAAAGCAGGGCCTTCATAGAAGTATAAAGATGGATCAAAGTACCAGATTAGAAAGATTATTCAGAGGCCAATATATAATCCTTGGGGTTTTCTTGTTTCACTCTAAAAACTGCCTTCATTCATGCTTTTTGATAAATGTACAGTTTTCTTTTTATTTAAGAAAACACGCATTTTCAATAACAAAGGATGAGTACTTAAGTAAGCTAAGGGATATATAGTCGTCCATAAGTGTTCATCCTGGAAAGACCAATGTCCTGCTGCTAGTTCTTTCTGCAAAGACAACAGGATTATAAAAACAAAAGAGACAAAAGGGAATATTTTCTGCTCAACCAAGCACATCTAAAGCATATTAGAAGTTTGGAGACAATACTCTTATGTTATTTTAAGAAAGGTTGTATGGAACTATTACCTGGTTGCAAGAAAAAAACATGTAAAAGAAGAATCATAATAGGGCTTTTAACAGGGTATGGAGAAAAGGGAAAGTATGTGAGTACTTGGTTTTTATTCTTTGACTTGGTCACAGAACTCTACTGTTGAGAGCACGTCTTTTTAAGTTGCCCTCATCAATGCTGCAATAACTCTTTAGTATTTGGTACGTTAAGACAGGCATTTTAGAAGACTCAGGATTATCCTGGAAACCCCCTACATGCTCTAGCCATCCATTGTTAGTGGCAACACATGAATGTTAAGAGAAATGTTATGCTTCTTCAATGAAATGAAACTCCTCTGGCAAAATCACAGGGCCCTATTTACCAACTTCGTAATTGCTATCACACTATTCTTACACAGTCTTAATGGAATACCCTCGAAATGATATGTTCTCCCTGGAACCTGCAAAGCCACTCCTCCATAATCATCAAATTTTGTTGATTTCCCACATGAGAAGTAATTGAGAAATATGTTAATGCTTTATAAAATACAGGGACTGAGAATCTTGTGTTCTGTATCACTAAGGTGTAATGGAAAAGGAGCCCTCAATTCAGTATTTTAATGTTTAGTTTGAATGTGATTCATTCAGTCTATTACTGTACTTTTATTGGGATATTAGATATAACAATAACCTATCTGCTCTTCTCTCTGTCTCCTTGTC